TTAAAAAAAAAATTATATATATATATATATATATATATATATATCACTTTTTATAATATATATGTGTGTGATTGATTTTCCATACAAAAACAAAATATTATGCTACGTACAAAAATAGACTTACATATTTTAACATAATATAGTATAAGTTATATTGGTAAGTTAATGTTTCTTTTTAACTGAATAAAGTTAAAGACTTTACAAAATAATAAAGTTAAAAGTTTAAGGAATAAAAAAATTATCTTAACGTAAGTTAAGTCAATATTGAATTAATTTAAGTTAAAACAAAAATTAATTTTGAAAAAAATTATTTTTTAGATCAAAATGTTCAAACTTTTCTTAAAATGAGATTCAATAACTACAATATAACTATAATATAGATTATTAGGTAAATTTAATTTTTAATTTTTTTTACATGTAATATAATTTAATAACCATAGACTACTGGCTGCATTGAACGCTAATGTACTTAAAGCGCGTTAATGGTTTCGGCACATCAGCGTGATTTGCGACTTGCAGATAGGTTTTTAGGTTTTTACTTTTTAATAAGGCTTAAGCCATGAGAAATTGACCAATTACAATCGAATTCAAGAAGAATATATTTGACTGTAATTGGTCAATTTCTTATAACTTAAGGCTTAAAACACCTATTGTAAATCCGGACTAAGACTTATAACATAAGGCATAACCGCACAAACCAAGAGGGCTGTATTAGCATCTTAAGAAATTACTTAAAATGGTCTTAAAATATGAACAGATTACGAATATATGCCCTTAGTTTTATTATATCTTATTATTTTTCTAAGATTATTTAAAAGAGATAAAAAAATTTTTTAACTTAAAAAAAAATTAAAAAGTTAATGTTTAAAAGTAACTTAATTAAGTTAAAATTTAATGCATTTAAAATTAATTAAGTTAAGTTAAAAGTTATTAACTTTTTAACTTTTTTTTTTAATTTTTAACGTTTTAACTAGTTATTACCCAAGTATAATATAATTTTCATAACTAATCATATGCATATATTACAGTCACTTTTTATATATTTTGAAGCGTATGTAATCGTTCGTAATACTATATAATCATACTGTATAATCAATATAATATTATATAATCATACTGTGTAATCAAGATCAAAAAACCACGCTCCCCACCTCGCTAGAATAATAAATTCGCCAGCGCGAACAATCGGGAAGCGTAGAATCGTGATTACTACAGTCAGTAGACAGTTAGCTTGCACACGAAGCGGATTCACATCCCGATGTCGGTCGATCAGGTATTGCTTTATTTTCATACAAAAAGTATAGAGTAATTAAAAGGAATTAGTATCGGCGAGCATTCACTTTGTAAAATTAAATTTCACAAAATTAAATAATTTAAGAAATTAGAAATTATTCGAGAAATGTGGCAATTATATATAAGACATAATGAGATTATTAAAATCTATAAATAAAATTATCTAATTGTGTGAAAAAAACAATCAGAAAAAGGAATAGATTAAAATGCAAAAAAATCAGAAATTATCTCAATTCCTGATTTCGAAGATTCATAAATTCGCAAAATGAGAATTTTCATGTTTAATTCCTTTTAATTTATGCGTTTCTTTATGATGAGATTTTCTTAATTAACACGTAGAATGTTTGTGTTCAGTATTATCGTATTGTTTGTTTCAAAATATTATGTATGTTTGGGAGGTCGCGAAAAGATTTATAGACGAATGTCATCTATGACAAATGCCTATAACGGGGTTTTCTACGGTTGATTTTAGAACCGGTTTATACATTGCATTGCACACTTAAAAATATAAAGTATCCCAGAATTCATCTATCAAATCATATCTCTATTTATTTATATACTTTTTTAAGTCAGACTCAAATTACACAAAATTTATTTCTCAATTAAAACAGATCGAGCAAAGCTCGATTGAGAAATTTATTTTTTGATTAAAACACTGAAAAATTCAACTATTATATTAATTCAAGTAAATGTGATCGAAAATAAAGGGCATAAATTTTCTTAGGAAATTTCATTCTAGAAATGCATCTTGTTCTTCATTTAATCCAGTGAATTATAATATAATTTGTGAATTAGCTACAGAGAGATATCTAATGTAAAAAGTTGACAACTTGTTCAAATAAAATCCTATTTAATTTTCATTGAACGAAATTAATTTAAATAGCTATTATCTGTTATAATAATAATAAGCTATCTCTCGAAAAAAGAAACAAGTTTATGTCGTTCAACCTTGGTTTACATATCATGATAAATTTTGTGAGATGGGGATTCATTTTTTATTGTGCAAGCATTCTATCACAAAGTATTTATAATACTACAGTACAATCGTGCGATTATAAGGATGTTTCTCGATCAGATATCATAGATATCTTTTTTTATTTTTCATTATGATAATTATATAATTTCATTATAAAAAATGCATTATTAATGCTGTATACATAAAAAGTGCAATTTTTGTGTTTTATATATAAAAAATGCGTTCTTCGTATTTTTCCGAAGTTTAAAATTAGACTACATCAAAAAGATGTCGACGAATTAATTAAAACGGAAATAAGCTGCGAAAATTGACTTGGCGACACAGCATACTAATTTCGTTGATTACAAGCTGTGACCGTGTACAATATTATCACGTGCATTTCTCCGAAGAGAAATTTGGGACAGACAGTAGATTATCATTTAATTTGGGTATATTCAGTTGAAGAAAGTTTGGAAGTTCCGAACTTACAATAATTTTGAATTTGTTCATTGTGATCTTAAAAATTATATGACTAAATATTACGAATTACTTATATAATTGCTGATATTAACACTTTAAGTGCATGATTTTGTAAATTTAAATTTAGTTAATAATAAAGATCACTTTTAAAAAGCTTAATGCAGAATCACGATTCAAAGGTCACTTTCGTAGTCTTTTTTGAGCATCCATATTTATAAGATAATGAACTGCTGAAAGATATATAGTGACAAATAACGGTGTTTCTGACGAACATTCTTTTTTAACATTCTCTTATTATTATCAATATTATAGTTATATGTTAAATAATAAAATATTATAATATTACTAATACGTACTAATATTAGTAATATATTCAAATATTATATTATTTTAAAATAATAAAATTGTACTTTTCTTATAGCAATTTGAAAGGGCTGCAGAAGCTGTAAAGGCGCTTACAAAGCGTCCTACTGACGATGAACTTTTGGAGCTTTATGCTTTATTTAAACAAGCTACACTTGGCGATAATAACACATGTAAGTTCCTATATTAATGATAACATTAAATTTCACATGTATATACATATTCACACACACACACACACACACACACACACACACACACACAATATATAAGATGAGAGTAGTTGAGTTTTTTACTCCATAAGAAAAAATTATCGATTACAATATTGACTTAATGATCTGACTATTGACTTATTGATCTAACTATTAAACTTAACTTTACAAATCGGATGCGTGGATAACATCGTGCGAATTGTTAGTTTGAGCGCGAAAACAGGCACGTTTGAGTGAAAATTGTTACAAGATATTAAAAATGCGTTTTTTTCTCAGCGTCCAGTAATTCGCACGATGTATCCACACATCTAATCTGTATCACTAACATTAGTCGAAAATTAGATGTGAGGTCAATAATTTTCTCGTAGAATAAAAAATTAATTCAATTATTCTGATTCATCTTGTATATAATATATTTGTATATATTAATTGCAATTATTGAATTAAATGTATATTTATATTATTAATTTTATTATAATTATATTTGCTAAATTATATTTATTTTCTCTCTCGTTAAATCACAGAAAACTAATTATTTATATACTTA